GCAGCCACCGCACTCCAGTCTGGGAGACAGAGTGAGACTCCAACTCAAAAAAAAAAACTTGGGTCCAGGGATGTGTCACACCAAATAACTGCCAAAGTTGTGTTGGAGTTTCCTGACCAGTGTGCTCCTTCCACAATATTACACTACTCGTGTTAGAATGAGCCAACAGAATATTTATTGAACGTTTACTAACTACAAAGCACTGTGCTTAAAATATAGATAATGGCCGGGCTTGGTGGCTCAGCCTATAATCCCAGCACTTTGGGAGGCTGAGGCGAGTGGATTGCCAGAGCCCGAGGGTTCGAGACCAGCCCGGACAACTTGGCGAGACCTCATCTCTATAATAAATCAAAAATTAGCTGTGCGTGGTAGCTCGCGCCTATAGTTCCAGTTACTTGGAAAGCTGAGGCGGAAGGATTGCCAGAGCTCAGGAGGTCGAGGCTGCGGTGGTTGGGAGCGTGCCACTGCACTCCAGTCTGGGCGACAGAGTGAGACTCTAACTCAAAATAAATAAATAAATAAATAAAGTATAGATAGTTATTTCATGAATTGTTCAAATTCATCACAATAAATAATTTAGACTTCTACATATTGACATTTACTATATGTCAGAGACCTTACTAAGCAATTCACATACATGCCTTATTTAATTTTGTTTTTTAAGTCAGAGTCTCACTCTGTTGCCCAGGCTGGAGTACAATGGCACGCTCACGGCCACTGCGGCCTCAACCTGCTGGACTTAGGTTATCCTTCCACCTCAGCCTTCCAAGTAGCTGGAACTACACACATGCACCACCACACCAAACTGATTTTTTTATTTTTTATTGTAGAGACAAGGTCTCATTAGTTGCCCAGGTTGGCCTTGAACCCCTGGGCTCAGGCAATCTGCTCACCTTTGCCTCCCAAAATACTGGGATTATAGGCATGAGCTACCACACCCTGCTGTCTTATTTAATCTTCATAACAACCCTATGAGGAAGATGTTGTTATACTATCCATTTTACTAATGAGGAAATTGAGGCCGAGAGAAGCTAAACAATTAAGCAAAAATTAATTTGCTAAGCAGGTTTCAAACCCATGCAACCTGACTTCAAAACCTACTCTAAAACATAGCCTGCCTTCAATAATCAATGATATCAGTTATGTGCAGGACAAATATTATTCATTTTTTACCATTTTCCTTTGCAATAACCATTATCTGAATACCTTCTTCTCCTTTGCATTAAACAAAATACAAGAATGCTTTGCTCTTTTTCTCTCCCCATCCTTCCCTCTCTCCCTCCTCTCCTATCTTTCTCTCTTTTTCTCTTCCATACACCCACACAGACACAATTAGCAAATATCAGTTTTGTCAATTACACATTCCCTGAAATGGAAATGAAGTCTTAACTCACTCAGTAGCTCACTAAAACTTCTAGAGTCAGTCATGGCTCTTTTCCTTCTTTTCACCTGCATTAAATTCGTCAGCAGAACCTTTGGTCTTTCTCTTCAAAACAATCTGAATCCTACTTGGCACTGCCTCCATGGCTGTCACAGCCTCCACGGCTGCCCCAGCCTTGACTGCTGACACAGTCAACCCACCCTCCTCTCTTGCCTGAAGTTTGTCAGTTCTCCGAACTGTTCTTTCTGTTTCTGCTTCTACCCTTCCCAGCTACAGCCTGTTATCAAAAAAGGTGGCCAGGCTGTTCCTTCCAAACCCACCCAATGACTCCCCATGTCACTCAGAATACAAGCGACAGCTCCTCCAGTGGCCCATAAGGACCACTGTGGCCTGTACCCCCTCCCCATCTGGAATCTTATCTCCGACCACCCTGACTCCCTCGCTCACCCACTCCTACTGCATTGCCTTTCTGCTCCCCTCCTCACCATCTCTCTCCGTTTCCCAAATATGTTCACGTCCTAATTCCCAGAAGCTGTGAACGTTCCTTTTTGTGGAAAAAGGGACCTACAGATGTGATTAAACTAAGGGTCTTAAAATGGGAAGATTATTTTGGATTATCCTGGTGAATCCAATTTAATCCCAGTGTTCCTTACAAGAGGGATGCAGGGGAAGTCAAGAGTCAGAAGGCAACATGATCATGGAAACTGGAGAAGAGATGTGATACGGGTCATGAGTGAGCAATGAGGTCAGTTTCTAGAAGAGGGCAAAGGGAAAGAAGCAAAGCGAGTGCTCCCCTAGAGCCTCCAGAAGAAGCACAGTCCTGCTGACACTTTTATTTTAGCCCCTTGAGTCATTTCAGATTTCTGCCCTCCAGAACTGTAAGAGAAGATTTATGCCGCTTTAATCCACTAACTTTTTGGTAATTTGTGTTACAGCAGCAATAAGAAATTATCCTGCTTTATGTTTCTTGATAGCACTGTCACCACTAGCTTTATTTTGTATCTATTTTTTTAAATTGCCTATCAATTGTATTTCCCACTACACTGCAAAGTGCATGGGTATCAATTCTTTGTTTTCTTCATTTTGTCATAAACCCAGGGTCTGGTACAATATCTATCGAGTGAATAAATGAGTGATATATTTTAATTAAGTACTTGGGCCATGCCCTAAAATGATTGAGCCTCAATACAAAGCTGATTAAACAGATAGTTACAAATCTGTGTGACATTCTCAATGATGTGTCTGGAACGGGAGGAAACACCACAAAGGAGTGCAGGTGCAAATGCAGCCCAGGTGCTCTACACTAAAACAGTCCAGGAGACACCCAGGACTGCACAGCTGTGAGCCCTACTAGGAGGATAGTAAGCCACATTGCTCCGTTCAGTGCAGGACCAATACCCCTTCCACTGAGCTGGAAGGAAAAGGGGACCTGACAGATCACACTCAGACCCTCTGCCCCGTTCAAATGCAGCAGGTCCTGTTTCACCCAACTTTATAGACTCCACCTCCACAGTGGGGCTGGGCTGCGGGTGGGACTACATCTGCCACCCTTCTTACTGAATGCAGCTGGATAGCAGTAAGAAGGAATTCACACGTAGAAGCTGAGGTGGATGCTATGCTCCGGCCTCTTGGTGCACCTTATTACACTAAAATGATGTAAACTTTAAAAATTGATTAAATCTAATATTTGCTTTAGGCTGTTTGAAATAATTTAGGAATTACATGGTACTCCCAGAAGTTTTTCCTATTGCTGGTACCAGCTGAACATGCCTGCTATTTCTTTTTCCTGCTAGTTCTTTTTGGTTCAACACCAGGGATAGGCTAACGTCTAGTGCGATAAGCACCTTGCCAAATTTAAAATAATGCCTCGATGGGCCGATGATAATAGTGATGGTAGTGGTGATGATGACATCCCACCTTACCTATTGCATGAGTGCTTCCATCCTGAGAAAAAAATACATTTAGTTTTTCCTTTTTTTTTGAGTTGGAGTCTCACTCTGTTGCCCAGACTGGAGTGCAGTGGCCGCTCCCAGCCACCGCAGCCTCGACTTGCTGGGCTCCGGTGATCCTTCCACTTCAGCCTTCCAAGTAGCTGAGGAACTACAGGTGCGCACTGCCACACTCAGCTAATTTTTTGATTTATTGTAGAGATGAGGTCTCGCCAAGTTGCCCAGGGGGGTGTCGAACCTGCGGGCTCAGGCAATTCACTCACCTCGGCCTCCCAAGGCACGGGATTACAGGCTGAGTCACCGAGCCTGGCCTAGTTTTTACTTTTTAAAAAAATTTATTTTTACACAGTGTGATGCAGCAATGGTGTAGATATGGAGGCTGGAAAGTTGTTTGAATGCATCTGCTGGAACATCACCTCCTACATGGAACCATCTTCCATACCCACCTTGGTACTCCCTTCTCAAACACCCACAGCACTCACTCATGCCTCCATTTCATCTCTTACTACAGTCCATTACAATTCATTGAGTGCAAGTCTGCCTCTAACATGGTATTGCTGATTTCTTAAGAGCAGGGCCCACATCTTACATAGTCCTTTCCCCACTAAATGCTCAGCATGGTATCAATCAAGGTGTGTCAGGTACATACATGTGAACCAAGCACTGTTCTAGATGCTTTTTGGAAGGCTCTTGTAGTAGAGTGAGAGAGACACAATTTACACACTAAACAATTAGAGAAAAAAACAAAGTAGAAGATCATTAAATTTTAAATTAATAAAGTATATTTCATTAGGAGTGTTATTGGAAACCAGCAAAGAGAGAAATAAATGTGGACTGGAATTTTTACAGGTTCATAGAATAATAATTTTTATTAGCATGAAGCAGCAGTGTTTACTAATATGTCATCTTCAGATTTTTAAAAAATTCATGCAAATATTAATATTGTGAGGAGGATGGGCCTGCCATATTGATTAATAAAGATGATCTGTTTAGCTCTGAAACATTGTCGTTTTGATCATATTCACAAACATAATCTTTATTACATTATCAGTATAGTACAAAGATCACCAAAGTTCTGTTTAAATACCACAGGCATTAAACATTAACACTGACAGTTAGCATCTTACTACGACTGAAGCCGCTTGACTTCATCAGAATTTTAGTTATCTTGGTGCCAAAAGGGCAAGCTCAGTGACAGAAGTAACATTTATTGACCACCTATCTGGTATTTCTATGACTTTAGAAACTAAGAAGGAAAATCCAACACCCGACTGCAGATTTAACTTTCTCTCACAAACTTAGTTTTCATTTGTAAACATGTTGAAGAAGAAAATTTTAACAGATAGAAAAATATACTTAACGTCTGTCACCAAGGTAAAGATTTGAGCAGCAATCCTGCTTACTCGTGAATTATTTAAAAGTGCTTCACCCATAGTATGTAAAAGTCAATGATTAAACATACACTTTTGATGCATTTTTCCAATTCTTGTAATTTTGAGAAGACCTGGGCACACTTTGAAATGACCTGTTTAATCAGTCCTACCCATGCATATATGTTCACATCCAAGGATCATGACATCATGCATGTTTCCCTGGTCACTCAGAGCAAAAGAAAACACGAATGACACCATCTGCCTGTGCAGGCTGTGCCTGTCAGAGGCAGCCCTTACCTTCACAAAGAGGCTAACCTCAGGGCTCATGGAAACTGCTTTTTCTTCTCCCAAGTCGTTAGCATCAGAATAGCAGGTGGGGGGATCACTGCTCATGGAAAAAGCCTTGCTGTGCTGGATGGTGAAGCCTGAAGGAGAAGGCAAGTTTTCCCTCATCATGCTTCCGCTCTCCTCAGGCTCCTCTGGGCAGAGCTCTTTATCCTGGCATGGTGAACACAATTCTTCCATTGAGATGTTCTTATTCTCCTCGGGCTCATCTGGTTGAGCATCCTGGGCCTCAGTGTACACCTCATCTGGCAGGAGGTAGCTTCCTGTTTCTGACGGGGAAGAGACCAAGCTGCTCTCTTCACGGCCCATGGTATAGACAGACACAAAATCATACTCCTGGGTTTCCAGCGTGGTGTCATACAAATTGTTTTCTGGCCTTAAGTCTTCATGGATGGCATCATAATGGGGACTTTCATTTTCTTCTGGCTGGTCTGGAACCTCATACATCTCGTCTTTTTGGATTACATCATAGACAGTGCTATAGTCTTCGTCATTCATGCTGATAGATCCTTTTTTATTTGCAGGCAGATCTGAGCAGGTCTGAAGTGAGTAGAGAGACAAAAGATGTTACACTGCGTTGCAGAGGAATCAACAGACTTTTGAAAGGTAGCAACTAGCAACAGCTATCAATGACAGGTCTCTAACAATCATTTACCGGAGACTTCAATAAGCAAACCACAAGTCCATTGGATAGAAGACAAAGCTCACACACTCAGTTAACTCCTTCACTCCTAAAGATATTTTCGATAGGGTCTGGGGATTTCCTCATTGCCATTAACTTCAAAGTTCTTTGAATAAACCAGAGGTTGAGTTGAATGATCATCCCCACATAGACTGAAATTCTGAATATTTAGCCATTTGTCACTACCAGAGCCCCCTCCTCCAAATGCCTCCAAATGTTGACAATCTTCAAGAGCCCCTTCAATTCAGTGGAGAACTATTAATAGAATTCTTCACAGTGGTGACCCATCTATTCACAGCCCAACGTATCACAAAGAACAATTCTTTGCATAATGTTACCCTGTGATAATAAATGATATGTGTCCCAGTGAGGGAACGAATTCTATATACATTTCTTATCTGGAATAACCATGAGGTGATTAAATGGCAGAAGGAAAAGAAGATAACTACACTGGCCTATGGACACATCAGAACAGACCACTCAAAATAAAGGGCTCGAAGACTTATGGATTTAATTTTTATTTTTCCCCCTTAAGTCATGGGATCATCCCTGTCAACAAACACCCACCAAAATCCTATTATGTACAGGATACTGACCTGAGCACAACGAAAGAGTTAGAAGATGCATTCTCTGTCTTCAAGGGTCTTTTAAATACAGATGGAGAAACAGAGAAACCAAAACCCTACTAGACACAGAACAAACTATTTAAGGTTTTCTTAGTGCAGTTGGCCAGGTCTGGATAAGCAGAGAAGAGCTATATGTACAAGGTTGCCCAGACATCATCTACATATGGTGCAGACACGTGTGTTCTTTGTTTTGTTTTGTTTTCTTTTTTTTTTTTTTTTTTTGAGTTGGAGTCTCACTCTGTCACCCAGACTGGAGTTCAGTGGCCGCTTCCGGCTACTGCAGCCTTGACCTCTGGGCTCCAGCCATCCTTCGTCCTCAGCCTTCCAAGTAGCTGGAACTACAGGCATGCACTACCACGCCCAGCTAATTTTTTGATTTATTGTAGAGATGAGGTCTCGCCAAGTTGCCCAGGCGGGTCTCGAACCCATGGGCTCAGGCAATCTGCTCACCTCAACCTCCCGAAGCGCGGGATTACAGGCTGAGCCACCGAGCCTGGCTGTTCTTTGTTTTCTAATCTCATACTCTATCCTGCTAATTTCTGCTTCCCTTCACCACACCACATACATCTTTCTCTTTGCAGTGACAACCTAGCTGGTTGTAAAGGAACTTTAATGTGTAGAAATAATGTAAAAACTGAGAAAAAAATGCAACTCTAGTTAATAGGCTACAGATAATTTGATGGGTCTCTTATTGGTAAAACTTAATTGTGTTTTAGGCTCCAATATTGTATCCAGAAATCTCCTGCAGGGAACTGGAGCAGTATTTCTAGAATTTTAGTTTAAAGAATAGGTAAGGAGAAAGAGGCCAGAGATAGAACTGAAAGGCTATTGACACTGATCCTTTATCTCTCTTTTTTTTTTTTTTTGAGTTGGAGTCTCTTTCTGTCACCCAGACTGGAGTGCAGTGGCCGCTCCCGGCCACCGCAGCCTCGACCTGCTGGGCTCCGGCGATTCTTCTGCCTCAGCCTTCCAAGTAGCTGGAACTACAGGCATGCACTACCACGCCCAGCTAATTTTTTGATTTATTGTAGAGATGAAGTCTCACCAAGTTGCCCAGGCGGGTCTCGAACCCGCGGGCTCAGGCAATTCACTCACCTCAGTCTCCCAAGGTGTGAGATTACAGGCTGAGCCACCGAGCCCAGCTTGATCCTTTCTCTTATTGAAAAGGGACTTTGGCTGAATGCAGTGGCTCCCGCAATCCCAGCAATTTAAAGGACAGAGGCTGACAGATTACTTGAACCCAGGAGTTCGAGGCAAGTTAGGCTAACAGAGCAAGACCCAGTCTCTACAAAAAGTCAGAAAATTAGCCAGGCATGGTGATGTGCGCTTGCTGTCCCAGCTACTCCGGAGGCTGAGGCGGAAGGATTGCCTGAGCCCAGGAGGTTGAGCCTGCGGTGAGCTGTGATTGTGCCACTGCACTCCAGCCTGGGTGACAGAATGGGACCCTGACTCAAAGAAAAAAGAAAAGAAAAGAGACATTCAATGGGTCCAAATACATTTTGATAGATCCCATAATCAGGCATATATAACTGAATGGAGCGCCAGTCAAATCCTCCGCATAGTTTTAGAGTTGGAGAAAACATAAGAGCTCATTTAGTCTAACATTTTATTTTACACTAAAAAAAAAAAAAAGAAAAAAGGCCGGGTGCAGTGGCTCACACCTATAATCCCAGCACCTTGGGAGGCTGAAGTGAGAGGATTGCCTGAGCCTACAGGTTCGAGACCAGCCTGGGCAACTTGGCGAGAACTCATCTCTGCAATAAACTGTGAAATTAGCCGGGCATGGTGGTGCTTGCCTGTAGTTCCAGATACTTGAAAGACTGAAGTGGAAGGACAGCCTGAGCTCAGTAAGGTCGAGGCTGTGGTGGCCGTGAGCATGCCGCTGTACTTCGGCTTGGGTGACAGAGTGAAACTCCAACTCCAACTCCAAAAAAAAAAAAAATTTCTGGCAGTAGTGGGAAACTGCCAGGGGAAGGGGCACACCTTATCAACAAGGCTACCTGCATAATGAACATTTGTATACCTAACCCTGAATTGTACCCCACATCTTTAAAATAAAAAAATTAATTAATAAATAAAAATTAGAAAAATAAAATAAAAAAATCCTGTACCTGGAAAGGGGACGTGTATGGTCCAAGTTCACACGACAGATTAATGACAGAGCTGACTTCAACTGTGGTTTCTGAACCTCCAGCTTGGTATCTTTCTGCTACTAACTCCTTTTCTTAACTCAGTGTTTTCAACCTTTTTTTTTTTTTTTCATGGTTATACTCTATTTCCCTACCCCCAAAGAAGCTTTTTAAGATAATTTTCCCACAACTAAAATGCCACAGATATGCTGCATATCTCTTTGCATATTTTGTGTACATCTGCATCTATGCATTATACATTTTTTAATATCCATTTAAAAAGAGTACTTTTTTTTTGCTTTCCAAGAACTAATATTCAGCCCTTTGGGCATGATATTTCTCTTTTTTTTTTTTGAGTTGGAGTCTCACTCTGTCGCCCAGGGTGGAGTGCAGTGGTACGCTCACAGCCATCCCAGTGTCAACCTGCTGGGCTTCAGTGATCCTTTTGCCTCAGTCTTCCAAATAGCCAAAATTACAGGCGTGTGCTACCATGCCCAGCTGATTTTTAAAATTTATTGTAGAGACGAGGTCTTGCCAAGTTGCCCGGGCTGGTCTCAAACCTGCGGGCTCAGGTAATCCACTCATCTCGGCCACCCAAAGTACTGGGATTACAGGCTGAGCCACCAAGCCCAGACAATATTTCTGCTTTTGACAATGCATACTTAATCTACTAAAACACTTATAGCATGTAGCTGCACTGGGTTATGTACCATTCTGCCTTGTTACCAAAGAATAAAAGTAATATCATGTATATATGTAAACAGCCTGTCACCAGATTCTCACAACAATGACCTCATGAGGCAGGCTGAGGCTGGTAAAGCCCAGGATCACGTCAACATTTCATAAATTAGGTCCCCCTGCTATCCCATCTTTGAACACATCTGCCATGATTTACAGTTACAGATTGTAATATGAAACAAGTCCAAAACAGGAGAGAAGTGAAAGGAATCCCAGGACTGCTGCTAGAGGGCAGCCAGTCCTGATGGAAGGAGGAACAGCACTTTGGAGAGTTTTCTTCATAAAGATGAACCAGACAGCCCGGCTCGGTAGCTCAGCCTCAAAAAAAAAAAAAAAAGATGAACCAGACAGAATATTGAGAGGATTGGAAGGAAATTCAGACAAGTGGCAGATCTGTAGCAGAATTCATGAAAAGCACTCAGGGATACGATGTTGCCTTTATGTATGGATTTCAACAACTCCTTAACATGATTTTTTGGGACACTGTAGACCTCAGTGGTCATGAATTTCCAAACAGAAGTAGAATCTCTGAATTGCTTAATCTTTAAAGTATGGGAATGGCTCAGTTCCCAGAGAAAACAAGCAGGGCCGGAGTCCCTCCGACGGCAGGAGCAGGCTGCAAGCATTGTTCCTACAGAGTCACCCTTCATACAGTGTTCTTATCAGTGGTTTGCAGATGATGAGGAAGGGAAAATAAGATGTCCAAAGGGGCTGTTTGAAAAGGGCTTTGAGTCTCTTCAATGCTACTAGGTGGAGGGGATCAGGATATGAGAGGCCTAGCACTTCCTGTAGAAGAGCTCAATTTGACTTTCACTAGGAATATGCACTTGAGTTTGTCCGTTCATTGCAGCCAACCTGAAAAGCATCGAATCATAGACTCCTAGAACAGGAAGTTCCACCCTTGTAGCCATACCCTACGAGTTCTGGGAGGATTGGTTGGGCCTTGCGACATTTGGTGAACCCATGACTTAGACGCTGACCCTCTGATCAAAAGTAGCTACGTCAGCACAGATGGTTGACCTCAGAAGAGCAAGAAAACAGTTCCAGAGGAAAGAAAAACTAGTTATTTTAAGAAGGGCAAGTTTATCTCCACTTGCTCTTCTGCCTTCTTCTCCCCATTTCTTTCCTCACTGCTTTTTTACCTCTCAGAAACTGCTCACTCTCAACAAGATTATGGGCCTAACGGCTTACCCTCTTAATAATATTTTAGTTTCAAAGAATGCAAAGTCTGAATGAATGGCTAACAGCAAAAACTCATTTCCACTCTTCTATTTCTCACTTCCTATTTTCTCTACTAATTCCCACTTGTCATATATGCAAAAT